AGAGAACATGCAAAAGCTTTAGCCAAAAGGGAGGTCACACTGATAGCTTTGTGTCTATTATAGCTGTTGCATTAGCAATTAAAAATGTGTTTTGGCCCTGGAAGTGTAATAAGATTTGGAAGATGAATTAAAAATGGTGTTGTATTTGTTTCAATGGCGCGTGCTCAATGACGCTTTCATGCCAAAAAATATTTTTTCTTCGACATTACTTCCATCTATTTTCTTCCACTTTATCCAGGGCTGGGTCGAGGAGGCAGCTTAATAGGGAGGTCTAGGCTTCCCTTTCTACACACAACTGCACCAGCTCTTCCAGGGGGTTCCCAAGGCATTCCCAGAGATACATAGTCTAGCTGAGATACATAGTCCCTCCAGCATGTCCTAGTGGCTCATTCAGAACAGATGCCATAGCCATGTCGGCTGGCTTATCTCAGCATAGAGGAGCAGCCTCTCTACTCAGAGTATCTCCTATGTGACTGAGTTCTCACCCTGTTATTAAACTCATTTTGAATACTAGTATCTGCGATCTTGTTCTTTTGATCATAACCTAAAGCTCATGACCATGGTCAAGGCATACTTCCGCAGTCAGATATTACAAAACTAAGTTAAAGACGCTTTGTCACTTTCAAAACCTGACCTAATAAGCAATGTATTTGCTCTCAACAGAGCCTTTTCATATTAGATCCATGGTTTAATAATGTCATGAAGACATTGATGGCATGATGGAATACATGTAATCTAATGTAACTTTTATACATGGTACTGTAAGTATATGTTTCCATCAGTCTTCACCATGTGTAGACAACACTTTTTTATTTTATCTCCCCGTTATACAGTACGGGAGAGATTAAATACTTAGGTACTTACAGTACGATTCGCAAGATGGAATTTACCGTAATGTTTTGTGTTGTCCATTTGTGATCATGAAAGTAAACAGACAAAGTAATTTTTTTCTTATGTATAGGGGAATTATGAGAAACCATGTTCATTGTAAAACAAACAGTTGACACATTAGATCTGATTAGACTCCGGTCCCAACACTTTCCTCACTTGCTCATTGTGCACACTGAATGGCTATGTCTTTTCATGTTTTTTGTGAAATTTAATTATTCATATAGTCTTGTTTGGAATAACTTACAATATTTTTGTGTAACCCCAAAGAAATTGTTGCATGCTCATATGTGACTGATCTTCATCAGTTTGAGACAAGACGAGCTGAGACACAAATAAATGTTCTGGAGTCTATTCCCCTTAAATGCCATACTTCTTCCTCACTAAGCCCTAGTGGTCACATCTGGTAATGACGAGTTTTTGAGGCTTTATACTCTCTTGACTGCAAGGGTAAAAGCACATATTTAGGTTTATTTGAAAAAATTATATTTTTATGCTTCTGTGCTTCACTCCTATTAAAGAGACAGCATTCAGAGATGTCAATTCCTTGTTAATGCCTTGCTTGACCAGCCACTTTCTACATTCTGTAGAACAAACTTGGAGCATGAAAAACCAACTAACTTGGGACAGTCCAACCACAGCCACTAATTTGTATCACGTGTTTCTCAAATGTGGAAAACCTATCCTCTCAAAAATTCTCCTATCATTCAGATTTCTAAATATACTTCTTTTGCCTTTGAATTTTGATTCTGCATAAATATGTGCTGTTTCTCAGCCTCTGTGTTGTTTTTCTTCCCTTATTTAATCCTAAACCGCTGTTTATTTTTTACAGAACAGAGCATGTGTCTCTCTGATTGGGTAATCCGTGTGTCAGTCATGCTCTCTGGAAGACAGAGGGAGACAGGATATGGTTCCAGACCCACTTGTCTTTGTACATTTTTGTCAAAGCTGGTTCTAGTTGGCCAGGTAAGTTAATTCCGATGCATTTTTGTTAATTCCTATATATTCCTGATAATTCCTATGGAAAATTTCCAACTTTGAAAATTCCCCAAATTCTACAACCCTAGTTGCCACTACGAGGACTCATCCACCCACCTTTTCTTAGTGTAAAAACATTAAATATATGAGTAAAACCACATACACGCACGTAATATTTTAGCTGTGAAAAACTGGAATATGTGGAATATGTGGCTCCTATACAGTCCAGTGGTCAAAATACCCCTCCTCTTTTATTGTTTCTGGTTCCACAAAAAGAGAAAACTACATTTCTTAAACTACAAGCTAAACATTTTGTTAAGAGCGGTTCTTTAAGTTTTCATAATAGCACATTTGAACAGCCAGTGAGCTAAGCCGTTCAAAAGCTGTGAAATTGTAGCTCTTAAATAGTTCTGACCTGCTTGGTTTATAGGGTAAAAACACAAAACACAAAGGAAAGGACAACAGTGGCTACTAGTGCAAGGTTTAGAGTGGAAGAAGCGGAGAAGGTGCGATGTCTGTGTGAAACGCCTCATTGCTTGAGGACAATCAATGCCTAAGACCGCTCAGTTTCAAGAGCAATCAGTCCATCCGCATTAATTATCCACACCCCCATTGTAGTGTAGGGGAACTCGCACTGGGTCGAGGTTTGAGGACTGAGTAGGCAGGTTATCATATTGGTAGTGCACAGCCTGCATGTCAAGTGAAAGGGAAAGCCAATAGAGATGTGAGGCATTTATTTTAAGTCCCGAAATAAATGTATTGAATATTTGCACTTTAAGAGCTGGACGCCTTTGTGTGCCCTGCTTTGTTCCTGTGTGGTTAGGACCTATAGGTCTGAACACTGAACAGACAGCAGCCCTTTCAAACAAACCAAGGGCCTGCTTTAACAAGATACAGCACCAACATATCTGGACATGTATGTACTTAACTTTTTAAGTAGCTATAGCATGTCATTGTTTCAGACTAAACACTGCAGTATTGGTTGATCAGGAAAAAACATGCAAGCCTACATGAATCTGAACACTAGCCCACTATAAGATAAATCATAGCTATCAGTGCCTGTAGCCTCAAAGTTCACCTTAAATTTGTATGTCAGAAGTCATGCCCCAGAAAATGTGATTTTATTTTCAGAGATTGACTCAAAGGTACATGCACATGTGGCAGTGCATGTTTTAAGGGTGTCACTGGAATGCTAACATGTGAAATTCTGCTAAATGGATTAAGAGGGTAATAGCACATAGATTCATATGTTGGAAGCCAAAACTAGCTAATTTAGGCTGACTTGATTTGAATTGTGATTTGTATTTAACCTACTAATAAATGCAGTGTTTTCGTCCTCAAAAGCAATCACCACCCAACCACTGGCATTCCCTGCCGCTAGATACAAAAAGTAGGCTACCTGCAAAATGACAAAGTAGTCTCATGCCTAATGTTTGATTTTATTTTCACAGGCCAAGATTACATTAATTCGATAAGCCCACAGGAATCTACATTTGTCACTGCATTTGAAGGGTATCAAGAGTTGTTTAAGATTTTTTTTTTTTTGCATGTGCGTCCCAGCCCTGCAGGTTGAAAACCATTATTAGTATGGAGTAATCCACTGAGTATCTACCTGGGGCTGCAGGACAAACCATATTTCCCATCAGCGTTATCTGCAGTAGGCTATAATCCATTGGCAAAATTGTCCACATTTTTATTTTAAGGTTTGTAGGTTTGGTTTCTAGGCTACTCCATACGCAGAAGCTCATCACGTCTGTTTTTATACTGTCGCTAAATCCCTTTGTTTTCTAAACATAAGAGTCTTATTGCTGCATTCCGTAAATGTGGCCTCAACATTTAATAACACGACTGATTTCCCCTTTTACCGTATTCCCTTTGATTCAGTCACTCTTGACTCTCCTTTGCTCTGGGGCCAGCGGGGCTCGTGGGGCCGCCTTGAAACGGTTTCTCCTTATCTCCTTTCATCGTAGAGCGCAGGGATGCCTTGAAACCACACGGCCAGTAATTGCTTTTTTTCAGGCAGCCCTGTTCGGACTGGCCAGCAGCCAATCACAGCCTGCTTTACACTCGATGATTGACAGCTCTCTGGCAAGCCGCCATCCAATCAGAAGTTGAGCCGAACCGCATCCCCGTGTTTTAACCCATTACCTCCACATGTAAACAAGCCCACTGCATATTACCCCGACTGCGCATAGAAGCTATAGGCTACTTTTGAGACTTGTGCAAGTGAACAACCCTCATGAAGCCACGGGGAAATACATTGACTTGCACTTACTTACACATTCATGTCTCTCCCTCTCTTAACAGTACACACGCACGCACGCACGCACGCACGCACACACACACACACACACACACACACACACACACACACACACACACACACACACACACACACACACACACACACATACATACATATATATATATATATATATATATATATATATATATATATATATATATATATATATATATTCTTCTAAGTCTTCAATAAAATATTGGTAAAAACTAAAACAGACACAAGTTCAACGTCTTCTGGTCACCACAACCTAATAACCTCCACAATAACCACAATAATCTAATTACGGTGATGTTTTGATCATGCTTAAAATCATGTCCCCGGATAAAGACTACTGTATAGCCTAATAGAATGTCCTTGGTTTGTGTCGACCAAGAACCAAGAGCCTAAATATAATGTCATAATGTTTAATGTAACAAAGTTCTGAACTCCAAGCACGTGCAATATTTGAAGATCCATTGCTATAGATCACATACGCTGTCCAGCCCGTGATCAGCTCTGTCGAGATGAGCTGAACTGCACGGAGCAGAGAGGAGCAGAGAAGTGCTGCCTGCCTGTCTGCTCATATTTGCCTGAGCGCACTATGCGATGCACTGACGGCTGCAAATCAAACGCCCGCCGTTTCGCTCTATATTCCTTTCGATGTCCTGATTGGCTCTGCGAGATGACCAATGAAATTGTGTGTTTACCGTCGGTGGAGGGATGTGTTGAGGAAAGGGTAGCGTAGGGTGGATGGGGAGGGCGCCTCACGGGCACGCTTTCACATTGTGGTTCTCAAACCAATAGGCGTGCGCGTTCACCCCTCCCTGCGCACACACATCCCGCTCACCCTCCTCCTCCTCACAGCGTCTGAGTCTCCGGCTGCATGAACGAGCCTCAATTCACTACAAGCCTGAACTTCTCCGCTGAGTCTCTGCCATAGCTCCACTGAGCGCAAGGCTACGTCTGCAGCAGCAGCGCAGCAGCGGAGGATGTAATCAATGCCACATGTTTCATTTGAGCGAGCCGTGGATTTTCACTCTCTATTCGCTGGACGTTTTCTTATAGCTCATCGACTTGCTTCGCAAGAAAAACAACTTAACAGTAAGTTGCTTATAAATTTACTGACATGGGCTATTGTATTTTCACCAGGTGGATATGGTTTCATAGGTTATTGTAGAGTCGTCTATGCACAATCATCTGTTAACACCCAGCGCTTAATTTGGCTTGATATAGCCATTTTCAAAAGAACATTTAGTTACCAATTTAAAAAATAAATAGAAATATTAAATTAGCCGTTTATAGTCATCAATAAAATGACTGTAAAACCAATAGCCTATATAGCCTATTTATATTTCACTTTTGTGACTGAGCAAAAAGCATGGATTGAGCGCAGCTTCCTCCTTGGGACCAAGCCTTTATAGACACTGGGACTGCAGCGCTTCGACTCGGCTTCTCTGTCTGGTTCACTGTCCCTTCCAAGTGTCCCTTAACTAGCATTAACAATCACCCATGACAGTTGTAGTTAATTATTGTAATAAACCACTTCGAAAACATGTTTTCAAAAATACCTACTTTTTTAAATGGCCAAGACGTAGACCTAATGGTATCCTTTCTCAAAGATGCAAACAATGTGCACTTTTCGCTCAGAATCAATGGGTGTGATATTTGACTAATAGAATAATTGGTTCATTTTGTACGTCTTGAGATGTGTCTCAAGAATTTTGCCTGACGAGTGTAAAGACGGTGCGCGCTGTGTGTGTGTGTGTGTGTGTGTGTGTGTGTGTCAGAATTCGCTTTGGGAGTGTGGTGCATATAAGCATGATGCCAAAAAAATAAAAAATAAATATATATATATATATATATATATATATATATATATATATATATATATATATATATATATATATATATATATATATATATATAACGTTGTGTATATATACACAACGTTTATGTGTATAAATTAGGTCTTGTGAGGTCCAGATAAAATGAGTTTCTGTTTTGCCTGTTGCTTTAGTTTGTCTGTTGGCGTAGATTGTAAACTTCGATGAAGAGTGCTTAGGAGCTTAAAATGTAAAAATGCAGGCTATAGACAACTGTCATGAGCAAAGTGGTTTATAATGGATGTTCTTAGGATGAATGTTATCGTAGACATAGACGTAGGACATCTTGGGCACCAGTTTTTGCTTGTAAACTGTTTTCTTTTAACCAAATAATATTATATCTTTAGGTCACCCAAAGTTGCCTATTAGATCCAAACAATGCTTATACATTAATTTATTATATGCCTACATTTTGCATTGCTGTGTTGAGTGTGAATTCATTCTCTCACACTCACACACGCTCATGCGTGGGAGTTTGTCTACTCCATTTTCTCTCGCACAATGCCAAAAAGTTTGTTCTTTCAAAAAGAGGAGCGCGAACGTGAACCTAACACAGTTTAGATGTAGAACATTGCTTTACGCACTTATGTCTTATCTACCAGGATATTTGATGTTTTCTTTTTTGATTGTGTTTTTGGGCCATGTGTTGTGGCTTTATATTTTAGGGTGTTATGGACGTAATAAGAAAGGCCAAAGAGATCGAGTGCTGATGTGCTAGTGCGTAACAGCTCTCCCTGCGCACCTCTCGTTGTTGAAGTAGGCTAAATTACCTGAGGTACAATGTAGGCCTATAGGCTATTCTGGCATTTCTAATTCATTGTTTGTTCTCCAAGTCTTTGGATCTGGAACATAAAGGAGTGATGTGATTTGTGATTACACCAGCGTCTTTACGCGCACTGTGCCTATAACATATTGTTCGCTCTTGTAGGGGTCACTGCTGCTGACACTGAAAGAGTTGACACAAACAGCGGTTTTACTTTGTTTTTTTTGCTTTAAAAAAATAACAATAAATAAATAGATATGTTCTGTGGCATAATACATAATATAACGAAATCAAAGATATAGGCCACATTGCGCCTATACAAACTCTTAACATATAATCCACCTTTTAAAAAGACAAACATGATTTCATTTCAAGTCACGCGTCTATGTTAAATAGCCTATGGTATTGATCTGGTTTACTGAAGGATAGCTCGTGCCACATTTCACATAAGTGGCTGTTGTCCCTCGTTGCGCGCACTGCCCCCAAGCACCGAATTTCTGAGCCAGGTTTTCCTCGTCCCGTCCAGTCCCTGGTAAATAACGCCGTTACCGTAAGCGTTGTGCCCGTGTTTGGTCCATAAGAACGCATTATACGAGTGGTTCGAATACCTTAATAAACTTGTTAAAGCCTCCATTTGAACTGAGCGAAGGCAGCATATATGCATGTGATGTACTGGATTGGGTTTGTGCTGTCCTCCACTGACGAGCCCTTTCTCCAGCCCTACTTTGCTATTGTATCATTATTACATGGCTTTGACGTATTTTCTGTTTTCTTTGTAGGACATGACGGGCTCCGAGTTTGTGCCCTGTAAATCCAAAACTCCGTTTAAAGCGAGTGGACTCCGAAGTTCATAAAAGGGATTATTTGCATTTGGGTGCCTGACACCATCGGTGCCTCTGGATTTCTCTTTGGAATTGGGATTTATTGTCTCTCGCGGGGATGGAAAGCCGAGATTTTGCTCCTCCACACCACCTCCTGACGGAGCGCAGTGCCTTGGTTCACAGCGCCGCGTCTCGGTTGGCGCCTGGCGGCCACGGCTCTATGCACCACCCCGCGCACTTTCAGCCTGGAAAATACTACTCATCTCACCTCTCAATGGCTCCGCATGCAGGTTAGTAATGCTTCATCTCTTTTTGAATGACAACGGTGGTTCGCAAAACTGTCTTTCACTTTCTTCCCATGTGTGAACAGTTTGCCAAGTTGGTTAAACATTGCACTGTCGAATTATAGTGGTTGCAAAAGTTTGACTTCTAATGAGGCTTATTACTGACCATATCTGTCGATGTTGCTACTTTATTTTATAAATGTGAAGGCAAGCAACGCATGCATGCTTGATTTGTATCCACAGTGTGGAAATATTGATGCTCCTCACGCACATTGTTTTTAGAGACACAAATTGTAACGCTTTCATTTCATGGAGATGTATTAATCACTGATAGGCCTATTTAAATAATGAAACCCACATTTATGGCTCATTCACTACACGAGTTCCCTTTCGTGTGTGCTTGTGGTTTTATGACGTTGCACGGTGTATGCCCTGGTTTGAACGAGGGTCGCGCAGCGATGGGGGCGCTGGCTAATAGAGGTGCGGGTAATACCAGAAAATCCGGTTTCTATATTGAGCCGGGACGTGACGGGGTGCGAATGGGTTGACAGTGCATGCATTAGATTTAACAAGTAGCTTTGGTATTCTGCCTCAATGGGGAAGAGGGGGATGGGAAGGTGGGCGTGTGTTCGTGTATGTGTGTGTGTGTGTGTGTGTGTGTGTTCAGTGGGAAGTAGGCTAGCCTGTGAGCCCTGTGCTGTAAATCATACACCGAACCGGACCCACTGATGAAAGTAAACGTGCTCAATGAAGACTCCCATTAATTATCATTTGTAAATGTAGCTTCATCTTTAAATAGACCCCGAGACTATCTGCGTGAATGATACAGTCATTTGTGTGTGATCCATACAGTGTCTGCCTCTACTTATTTGCATATTCATTTGTTTTACACAACAGGATGTCCAGTTCTGATTTTAATTGCGAATATTTGCGGTCTAAAGATTTGTGCGCATTTGGATAAATAAAAACAGCTTAATGACATTCATAAAATTATTTCTTAATAATAATAATTCTAACTTAGTTTTATTGTTTATTATTAAATCATTATAATTAACATTATCATTAAATTTATGCATTTTTTTGTTTTAGTTTTTTTTTTTTTTTTTTTTTTTTTGCAGACACATTTTTAAAGGTACCACACATATGTATGGGTTTACGCTCGGATATTTATCACATTGTGGGGACTAAAATCTGTGCATACACTCATATCATGGGGACCTGTTTTCCTTATGGGGACAAAAATCCCTTGATCAGCAACATGGTATAAAGTTCAGATATGGACTAAAATAGGTCAGTCCAATTGGTTAAGGTTAGGCATTGAGCTGCACAATTTGGGGGAAAATCTATTGATGATTTTTCTGAATTTGCTGGAGCGGTTATATTTCAAAATTAGGGTTCTGTTCAGAGCCACACTGTAGCCTAAATTTTGTTATTTACAGAGGACAGTCTGTGTATATATATATATATATATATATATATATATATATATATATATATATATATATATATATATATATATATACATTTTACTCATGCATTTTCACTACTACTACTATTTCATTATAAAGTGGCCCCCAGGTGTGTCCGTAGTGATGTGAGTAACAGTGTTTGGCCTTCTAATGCGCATATGCATTCTGAAGCCATTAGTCTGGGCTGTGACTGCTGCAGCTACTTTGACATGTATTCTGGTCCCATTTCAGAGTGATTGTGTGACGTTGAAGGGAGCGCGGCACAGTAATGCACAGTGATAATGCTATTGAAATGTATTCAAGTGGGCCTCTCGCTGGGTCTCAAGGTGCATGACACTGTATTGAGATTCCAGATACCCAGACTCTCCATGCATGTCCCTGATGGGGTTTTGACTGACATGATGGGCATAGAGCAGCATTGTTTTGGACTGGGGGAGGGGTGCACTGAGGTTACGATGGGGGTTACCTTTGTGCTGGTTCCCTTCAAGATTCAGAAAGCTGCATGGCTGGCCCTACAGGCTTGGAAGCAAGATGTTGATATAATGGAGCTGGCCATACAAGAGGCTTTGTGTATTTGCTTAAAATGGATGACTTACAGCAAAAAAAAATCAAATAAACTCCGCTCATTCTCCTGTTTCTATATTTCCCCAAATTCTATCAGTCCATCAGTTTACTGAAGCCTCTTATTTAGAGCAGCATGGTGTCTGTTCGGATGCGGTCATGCTTGACAAGGTGATGGAATGACAGGGGCATACCAAAGTCTTAAGATTCTACCCCCAATTGATAAAGCCCACAGTGATATTACACAGGCGTTTACATAGCTGATAGCAGCACTGGGAGAGCCTTTGTGTCTCTACCCGTTTTTTCTGTCTCCCATGTCCCTCTTTTGTGAAGTTGGCCTCTCACTGTAGTGAGGCGGCTATAGCCTCAGAGCACAGGTGTGCTCTGTTATGGGGGGTGTGGCTTTGCTAGTTTTAAACGGGACGAGCTGGGTGCCCTTGATCTTTTTTTACTGATACTTTAATACTGTGTTTTTTTATTGGTCTGTTACCGGAATTTTTTTTCTTAATTTAAATTCCACAAAATCATATTGTTTCATAATGCACAAAAGCAGTAGTTTCTATCGATTATTATGTGTTATTATGTTTAGATTGCCTACTTTCTATAGTTCTATATCACCAACCATAAATGTGTTTTTTTTTCTCAGTATCACAGAGGTACCTTTTTAAAGAGCAGCCAACCCTTAGAACAGGTGTGTGATTTCCCAGGCAGCAGACATTTTGTTTACATGATTATGTGCAAGTGTGTATGACGTAGTAATAGACTTGATCTTACACTCACATTACTGCTATAACAGAAAACATACTGGTGAATCTATTTGTACGTATGTGTATTTTTTTTCTGTCATTCATGAACATTGCTGCCATTCTCAAACTTTTAAACACAAGTCAGAATCATAATGAATTGTTAAAAAAACAACAACAAATTTTTTTTTTTAACTGTGAATGTTTGTCAGATAAATACATTTGAATGGTAGTAAGGAGAGGAAGGCTGGGAGGTGGGGGATTCCACCTTGTTGGTAATCCAGTCAGATTATCCCCACCTCACGGCACTGACCCAGCTCCTCAGTCGCTGTAGAGTGAATGAAAGCAGGAGTGACAGAGACGCGGGCTGGATGTGTGTCACTACGTGTCTGTGTGAAAGAGATGAGTCAGCAGAGCACCAACCTCACAGACACCCACGCTACCCAGGGCATGACTGTCGCATCCCGGGTGCAGTATGCAAGACGACCCCCTGCGTGGTCCAGACAGCTGGTAGAGCCTGAAGCCAGTCACCAGAGTGAGCAGGACAGGACTGTAAACTGTCAAATTAGTTAAATCCAGACATATACAGCGTAGTATTATTGATTTCAATGAGAATGTAGAATGCACAATGCTAATTGTATGACAAATGCTTACACCTAAAATGAATTTTATTGTTGTCATTACATTTTTCAGTGAGTCTGCCACAGGCAGAGATGCCTGTAAATATGGTGGCATTATTTCAGAAAACCAATTCCACTTATAAAAATATCTGCTAATTGTCCAAATATAATAGCAATCAAATCAACCATAATTGAATAAGTCGCGTGTGATCATCTGAATGCAGTGCCAATGGAAAAATTAAAGCATAAATGTATTAAGTTGAGGTTTGAGAGGCGTACATTTGCTTCAAACACATTTGCTGTTGCGACAACAGAAGACTTTTGTCTCATCTCCAGCTCTCTTCCAACATGAGAACAGCTGCTTATTGTCGGTAGCAGTGATATGAAGGAAGTGGGGTGCGTTTTGGTTGCGACATCTTGGGGTGTGAGCACACAGCACCATCTGATGACTTGGCATGTGAATGGAAAGTGCTAGACTTCCTGTGTCCACACTCCCTGTCTGTGCACTTGTCGTGGTGTCCTCCTTCTGCTTCACTCTTTCACTTCTCTTTGCTTGGTGCTACTCTGCTCCTATACCCTCTTTTTCATTGATTCCCCCTCCTCTTACACCACACTCCCATCTCTGTCTAACTCCCAGCTTCACTCAGCACTCCTCCTGTTTCTGTCTCAATTTCAGCCTGCTTCCTCATTTGTTTCCCCCTCTCCACCTCCCTCTCTCACAACCACTCGGCCGGTTGTTAACGGGCCCGTCCCGGTGCTACTCGGCCCACGGCCAACTCTGTAAATCACAAATGATTGGGGGATTTGGCAAGGAGGAGTGAGAGCTCAGAGGAGCTCCTTTTGAAGCCAGAGAAATGAAAGGAAAATGACATTTAAACTGCGTGCAAAACAGTTCCTTAACTGTATAGTTGTGCCATGTGTGAAGGTTCATAACCTTTCATAACCTGTGTGTATGTATAAACTATGTATCCATGTCCATCCATAAATCTGACATGTGACTGACCTCGCACTTTCCACAAATTGTGAATCAGCAATATCCACATAACACACAAAATATAATCACTATCATATGTTTATTAATAGGTCAAAAAGTGCAATTTAAGTAAGAATTAAACTGTGTGAACATACAATTTTAAATTCAAGCTAAAAGAACTGTGAGTACTTATGTAGATTACTATTAAAGTTTAGCGGTTAGGGAAAAGATCTGGAGAGGTGTGTCCTCACAGTGATGTTGAGAAAATAGATGTGCAAGCTCCTGACCACTGAGGCCACTCTTGTTCTCTTTTATGGCTTGGCTTTTCTTCAGAGGGGTCATGGCAGCCCCTCTCTCTGACATCACTTGGCAGGACAGACATGATGTCACAGTCTGGGCTCATCCTTTGGTCCGCAGCGTCACCTGAGCACATCTCTCTCCTTTTCTACACTACTCGTCTTTTACTCCCTCTGTTCTGAGCATTTCTGCCCTATTTGACTCATTCATATTGTAATGGCCTCTTTTCAAGCTGCCCCATGTCCAGTTTGTTTTGCTGTCAGGCTGCTCAGATTGATGGAGGGCCTAGGCAGGTTCATCTGGAGGTGAGGTTAAAGAAGTGCTCCGACCACCTCGCCCACAG